ACGGCATCACGACCAAAATGGACATTTTGGACTTGAGCTTATAGATGCCATAAGAAGAAAAGTCTGGTTTCAAGGTATGAGAAGATATGCGAAAATGCAAATAAGAGGATGTATTAAATTTCTGTTCAACAAACTACCTAGCGGTAAGAAGGAGGGCCTGCTAAATTTATGTCCAACGCCCCAGAGACCCTTTGTAAGAGTTCATTTAGATCATTGCGGTCCGCTACCGTCATCCAGAAATGGTAGTGATTGACGCGTTCACAAGGTTCATACAACTATTCGCCGTAACGAGCACCAGGACGTCGAACACGATCAAGAGCATCGAGAAGACTTTCAAGATATTCGGTTACCCAAAAAATTTGATAACTGATAGAGGAACGAGCTTCACATCTGAAGAATTCCAGAAATAGAGTCATGTGGGGCAAGTGTGCGCAGCGGGTAAGTGTGCGCAGCGGGTAAGTGTGCGCAGCGGGTAAGTGTGCGCAGCGGGTAAGTGTGCGCATGCCCAATTTCTAAAAAACCGTGGATAGTAGAGTAGGGGGACTGACTACATTCCGCAGTCACTACGACGTAGGACAAGGGACTGGAGTCTTGTCTGGTACGATTGCGTAGTTTCAAAATTATTGGTAGGTAAAAATTTTTGTTACAATTCTTATGATTCTTTTCAATTTTCAATTGAAATTCTTTTATAATCATGGTATGGTTATAACTATTTGTTGTATCTAAGTATCTTCGTTTATGTATCTAGTTTACGTAATTAAGTATTAAAACTTAATAAAATCACTCGCCATTGTGCAATTTTAACCTAATTCTGTACATGCGGTTTGGGTTAAGTGTGCGCATGAGGTAGTGATAGTGACAATTTTGTGGATATTAACATTTATTTTTATTTGTGTTAGGTTATTTCGATAAACATATATTGTCTAAAAAAAATTACAATGCCTAGAAATTATATACGGAAGGCTCCACATAGATCAGTCGTTACAAGTGATCAATTTGATGCTGCGAAGCGATTAATTGCTGAAGGTTGTAGTGAAAGAAGAGCAGCTAAACAAGTTGGAATGAAAGAGAGTACTCTCAGAAAACGTCTTAAATCTAACTCTACTGCAGCTAAGTTAGGCAGGTTTATTCCGACATTTAGTAAAGACCAAGAAAACGAAATCTATAATTATTTAAAAAGATGTGATGATCTCTATTACGGTCTTAATATGACCACTTTACGGACACTGATTTATGAGTATGCTGAAAGCAATAATATTTCTCACCGTTTTAATCAAACCTCGAAGATGGCAGGACGTGATTGGGTATATGGTTTCTTAAAAAGACACCCGGACTTAAATCTTCGGCAACCCACACAGACCAGCATAGCTAGAGCGATGGGGTTTAATCACGATCAAGTTAATCAGTTTTACGATAACTTATTAAGTCTTCAAGATAAATATAAGTTCAAGCCTAGTCGAATTTACAATATGGATGAGAGTGGTATAAATACTGTACCAAAAAAAATTCCTAAAGTCATATCAGTGAAAGGAAAAAGATTAGTAGGGAAAATAGTTTCAGCTGAAAGAGGACAAACAATTACATTGGTGTGTGCTATGAGTGCTACAGGAAATTATGTTCCACCAGCTTTTATATTCCCTCGTAAGAGAATGAAGGGTTATTTACGAAATAATGCACCTCCAGGAAGTATTGGAATGGTATCTGATTCTGGATTTATAAACACAAATTTGTTCTTAGAATATCTTCACCACTTCAAAGAAAACGTACAGCCAACTAAAGAAAATCCAGTCTTGTCGATATTAGATAATCATAGTAGTCATCTTTCTCTAGCTGCTATTAACTTCTGTCGTGATAATGGTATCCATTTACTTACACTTCCACCACACAGTAGCCACAAAATGCAACCATTGGATCGTGGATTTTTTGGACCATTGAAAACGAAATTTGCTTACGAATGTGATAAATGGTTAACTAGCAATCCTGGACGTGTCATTGGGCAATCAGAGGTGGCCCAACTCCTTAATGAGTCTTTTAAGAAAGTTGCAACAGTTTGTAATGCTACTTCAGGTTTTAAAACTTCTGGGATATGGCCTATCGATAGGGAAATATTTTCCGAAGAAGATTTCATAGCAGCTTCTGTGACTGATATCTAGAATAATGTCATTGCTTCTACATCGAGCGCACAATGCACATTAGAGTCTTTGCCCGGTACTTCTAGTGCTTTGATGACAAGTTCTTCGCCACCTGTAGATGGATGCTCTAATGAATTTATTCCACTATCATCAATACAACCATTTCCAAAAGCAAAAATCCAAAATAGACGAAGAGCCGGTAAAAAATCGATAATTGCTACTGATAGTCCTTTTAAATTGGAATTAGAAAAAAAAAGACAAGATGAGGAAGATAAAATAGCAAAAAAAAAGACGTCTAGAATTAAAACAAGAAAAAGCTTGTGCAAAATCACAAAAAAAACACTAAGAAGAGTGATACAACCAAAGGAAGAACTAAGGCGATTGAAAAAAAATTAGAATCTAATGAAAATGATTGTTTTTGCCCACTGTGTAGCGAAGACACATAAATAATATTTGTGAGAGTATATATTTAATATATAAATATCAAAATTTATAATAAATAATTATATGCTTAAAAATAGTTAAATAGTTGATTAAAAATATTTAACAGCATGCCGTTTCAGATATTCTAAGTGCGTATACTTACCCGCAGTGCTGCGCACATATACCCCGATATTGGGGTAAGTGTACGCATTCTGACTAAGTTTAATTTTATTCTATTTTTGAAAAGTACGAGTAGCTAAATTCAATTTTATGATATGTAACTGTTAAATCAATAACGCCTTTGAATGAAAAATTCCTTTTCAATTTATTTCATACAGAAATTATAATTTTATGATAAATTTAAAAAAAATCCGCACTCTTGCCCCAAATGACTCTACTGCTCAGAGAAGTTAATTAAACACGTTTCAAATAGTCCGCTTCACCCGCAAGCAGATGGTGTTTGCGAACGGAGCATCAGAACCATCATGCCGACGTTAATGGCGCATCTGAATGATAAGAACAGCAACGACTGGAACAAAGTACTGCCAATAGTCCAGAGAGAACTCAATGCGGCCAAGAACTCAACAACTGGGTTTGCACCATATGAAGCCTTATTCGGTTATATACCCAATTTCGACCACGATGTGCTCGACATCATTGTCGGGGAAGGAGATGCCAAAGATCACGCGGACGTTTGGAACGAAATCCACGAAAACATTAAAAAGGCGGAGATTACGTACAAAAAAAGGTACGACGCCACTTAGAGACATCCGAGCTCCTACGAACCAGGAGACGTAATCGTTGTCCAAAGACCTACAATCGCCACTGGTGAGCCGACCAAACTTCAACCACTCTACAAAGGCCCTTTCATGGTTTACAAAGTTCTGCCCTCGGACACCTATGTAATAGGAGACCTACCAATGTCGAATAGATCATTTCGAACAACGGCGCACATTTCACAAATGCGTCGATACCTCAACGAAGAAGAGAGTAGCGATGACAATCCAGCACCGGAGAACGATTGTAAGCTGTCAGAGAACGATAGCGAGCTACCAGAGAACGACAGCGTACAAGCGGAGTCAAAGAGAATGAGAAGGCCGCCACAACACCTGGCCGACGTCGTATAGGAACCAGCTGAACCAGCAAAATGAACAACAAAAGTATGTATTTGATACTGTTATAAAAGTATCAAATGATGAAACAGGAGGGATTTACTTCCAATATGCACCTGGTGGTACAGGAAAAACTTTTTTGATTTCATTAATATTAGCCACAATTCGTATACAAAATAAAATTGCACTTGCACAATTTTTGAATTATCTTATCTGCTAACATCACTAACAATTGCTAATTGCTAAATAAATGCTTTATAAATTGCTAATCTATATATATATATAAAAGAAAGTCATGCATCGGAAATGGTTGTGATGGAGCTAGCCAAACCGATTTTGAATAGGGGTCATACTCTCTATTTGGATAATTGGTATTCGCCGCCCAAGTTGTTCCTACATTTAGCGGAACAAAAACACATGTTGTGAGCCAGAGGTCTACCACATGTACACATATTGATTTGGTAAAAACAGTAGCTACTTCCCTAATCAAATCGACAACTTAATTAGCGCTGAAATTCCAGATCCAGAAGGAGATAAAAAATCTGTATGACACGGTTATTAAAAATATGATACATGGTCCTCAAGTGATTCGTAATCCATCAATCTCCGTGCATGAAAGACGGGCAAATATACAAAAAGTATCGAGAACTACCTAGGAGAACAGTTCAAAGTGATAAGTAAGTTACCCGTTATATAGACGAAGGGTCGCTGATGGCGGTAAACAAGTTGTGGGGACTACCATCTCACCATCTTAAGCCTTGAATTCTTCTTCTGCCTTGCATGCCATTTTCCCATGAATTCCCGCAAGATCTTATTTTTTACTACTTTTCTATTAGTTTACAGCCTTTTATTTTCCAACTTCTTGCTGTCATATAAAACTACCCTTTTAAAATCTAATCCCCGTAAGTCGGACGGTTTGGCACGCAGTATCTAGCGTGAAATATCCCGACTCGATTCCCAGAATCCAATGGCTGTTTTCCCCAGTCTTTAATATGTCATACACTTTCTATTTTTAACCAATTAAACTATCGCTTCCTTCCTATTTCTCTGAATTTCTATCACTCACCCATCAACCTGCTGAAGGGTTGCTGGTGAGTGACAAGGGTGTAGGAAGATCACTTCTTGACATTACTCAAACTCTACACTTCTCTACAAGACTTCATAATTTTACGCTTCGTCAACACATTTCAATTTGGTAGTCCCTACCGTCATTAAATAAAACCGTAAGTCGTGATATCAAACCTTGTGTATTATTCGTAATTATAAATAACACACTACACACACCGATCCCACAAAGTTAACAATATTCGACTCACACTCATGAATTCAAGAGTTTTGATTATAGCTAAGTTGTGCCCCATTCACCAATTTTAAAAGTAAAATATTCAACGCCCCTCATAAATGTTGAAGCTCGTAATTCTGTACGTGCAATTAAGTATATATTTAAGTATATATGTAAGTATATTACTCATAGCGGATCAGGTAATCTTCAATTTGCATAATAAAGATGCTAAAAGTATAACCTGAATGAAATACAAAATTATCAAGCAGGAAGATGTCAGTAGCGATGAATCGGCATGGCGGCTTCTAGGCTTTCCACTACATCAAAGCTTTGTTGTGTGTTTATTGAAAATAAATGTTTGTTGAAGAATAAAGGTATGTTAATCAAATTCTTGTATCCCTATTATTTTTTTTTATAATCAAATATAATTTGGAAAATGTCCACATGGGGACGGTTGAACCAAATAATATGAGGATAATATGCTTTCTAAACGTAATATAATAATAACCATTCTCTCTTTATTTTAGATGCCACGAATACGTATTCGCAAAACAGGAAAAGGCCAACATGATGATAGCGCTTACATCAATGCCTATTAAGAAGTAAGAAATGGAGCATCCATTCGAGCAACTGCTTTGAAGTATAATTTATGTCATGTATCTCTAATCAGATATAAAAGAAAAGTCGAAGCATCACAAGAGAATAATATGTACCACTGTTACTATGGGCTATAAAGCTCACAATAAAGTGTTTAATGCAGAACAGGAAAAAAAATTGGCTAAATACTTTATTCGCTGCGCTGACATATATTTCGGACTCACAAAAAACGATGTTAGAAGATTAGCTTACGGTCTGGCTGTCGAATACAACCTTAGTAAGCCAAGTACATGGGATGAGCAACAAATAGCTGGTGAGGAATGGTTTAGGGCTTTTATGAAAAGGAATCCCGAGTTGTCAGTACGCGCTGCCCAAGCCACAAGTTTATCCAGAGCTACAAGCTTCAACTCCAATAAGACTAATGTTAATGAATTTTACGTTCTAGGTGCTGGGTGATGGATTGTTATCATTTTCAACCACAAGATATCTTCAATATGGACGAGACAGGCGTTACTACAGTCCACAAGCCTGACAGGATTGTAGCAAGACGAGGATCAAGACAAGTAGGAGCAATGACATCAGGTGAACGCGGGACTCTCTTTACAATAGCTGTCGCTGTTAGTGCTTTGGGTCATGCTATTCCACCTGTTTTTGTGTACCCAAAAGTCAAATTTCAAGACCATTTTATTAGAGATGGTCCAACTGGTTGGATGCAAGAAGATAATTTTTTAGTTTTTTTGAAACATTTCCAGACGCATTCCCATGCTTCTTCATCTCATAAAGTTTTGCTTTTAATCGATAATCATTTATTACATGTGAATATAGTCTTTGGACTTTTGCAAACAAAATGGAATAGTCTTGTTGTCATTCCCACCCCATTGTTCGCATAAATTGCAACCTTTGGACAGGTCAGTATACGGACCATTCAAAAAAAAGTCGTAAATTCTGCTAGCACCGCATGTATGCATAACAACCCCGGTAAAGCCATGACGACTTATGACATCCCAAGTATTGTCGCTACTGCATTCCCAATTGCCATGACTCTAACTAATATTCAAGCTGGTTTTCGGACCACAGGCATATATCCATTTAATCGAAGTTTGTTCACTGCAGTCGACTTTTCCCCATCTTTTGTAACAGATCGATCAAATCCCAATCTACCCATAGAAATAGCTTTAATTCCCAACAATGCACCTCAAACTCAAGATGATCAATCCAACAATGAAGACCCTTTATCAGGAGACTTAGTAGAAACTGTCAGAATTCCTAACGAAAATTTAGAAGCACAAACCTACTGGAAACTTCAATGGTGACTACTGACCCACAGCCCAGCACTAGTTTCGCGTTTTGTCCAGAACGAATCAAACCTCTACCGAAAGCTCCTCAGAGAAAATCAACACGGAAAGGTAGAAAGAAGTGAAGGTCGACCATATACACTGACACTCCTGAAAAGGAAGCCATTTAAAAGGAAGCAGACGACATAGAAAAGAGAAATAATGCGCAAGCCATAACAAAGAACCTAATAGGAACCTTTGGTAAAAAAGCAACACGTAAGGCTGATAATTATAAATATATCAAGAATAAAAGTGGCAAAGTAGTAAAAAGAA